ACAATGCTTAAAACAATAGAAACGTTTGGTTGAAAGATTATCAAGCACTGGTAAATGATTTTTGAAAACAATTGCATTTTAATTTTTTTTTTAAATTAACCTTACATAGAGTCTGTATATTAAATATTAGTATTAATCTATTAACACAATGAAGCGTTCTAAAACGTCTACGGTCGTGTCAGGCTTTCATTTTAATTTTTTTTTTTAAAAGGCGGCTCTCTCCTGCCATGTCTTTCAAGGTTAATAAATTGGTTTTTATGTTGTCAGGATACTGTGGACTGTCAGATCTAGATCAATACACACCATATCTACATCCTCAGTTCGATGATCCCAGTTGAAAACACTGCCATCGTCAAAGAGAAGCTTGAAAAGAAAGGAAAACAAACTATATACACAATCACACAATTTCTCTTTCTCTCTCACACACACACTCATATATATATATATATATATATATATATATATATATATATATATATATATATATATATATATATATATATATATATATATATATATATATATATATAAAGCAAAGTGGTCAGGTGCCCGATAGGGCACTTCCCGGCGCCGCAGGCGCGTCAAATTTGGCACGATGGTGCCTTGGGTCGATAGAACACGAGGGCCGGTGACAGTTGGCCGAAAATTCGACGGAGAGGGGGTCAAAACTGACCTCGACTGACCGGCGCCTAATATGGGCTATATTACGAAAAAAATTTTTTTTTAGTTTTAGCAAAACTGTCAAATTAAAAAACACAGAGTTTGTACATTTATTGCATAAATACAAAAATATAAAACAGAATGATTAACAGTGTATCAGTTTCACCATGAGACAAATGCCTTTTTAAAAAAAAATACAATACAAATAAACAAGTCGTGTTTTATTAAATATTCATTTTTATTCATTTGCTAAAACAAAAGTACAATAAAAAAAATAAATCGTGTTTTCCTAATGTTTTGGTGTGTTTCGGTTGTTATAATAAAATACGCTCAACTGGAGTTAAACAAGCAACGGAGAATAAAATACGCTGAAATGGAGTTTTACCGTCTTTGTATTTTATGGTAAAAACCGGGACATTTTAACACAATTTTTAGGTTACTTAACGTCTGCACATCACGCTAAGTTTTTGCATACACTACTATAGATGATTAGGCCGTATGGAAAAACTGTTGGTCCGACTCAAAGCCCTCGACGAGGGCTAAAAGATAATCGAGAGTGAAATTCTCCTTATATGATATATATATATATATATATATATATATATATATATATATATATATATATATATATATATATATATATATATATATATATATATATATATATATATAAAATGACGAACGATCCCCTTAATATTTTCTTATATAAGCATAGCAACTGTTTGTAAAAAAAAGTAAACAAAGACATAGTCATACGTTCAGTTTTCAAGGGAGATAACGTTTTTTAAATTATTATTTTTCAAATAATTTTATACTATTTTATACAGAAACAGAAAATGACGAAGTATAGCATTTGTTTTAGTACAAAATTAAGTTGTTAATGCAATTACGTATCGTAATTAAATAAATAAATAAATTTCAAAAGGCAATGTTATATAATATATGAGATATACTGTTCATGGAACCTGTGTAGTTCTAATTCCATTTTAGTTATACATTCCGTACTTTTATTAGGGAGCTTGTAGAGAGTCAACAGTATTAGAAACTGTAAGAAAATCACGGCGCCCAACGTTTTTCATCGCTTATAGTAGAGTGATCGCTTGCATTATTGTGATGTATAGCATTTATTTTCTACTTTTTAGTTCAATCAGAAAACGTGGGTTTTTAAAAACTTTTTTAATGATAATTATTTTCTACTTTTTAGTCTGTGTCTGTTTGTTTGCATTAAAATCTTGCTATCGATTTTATTTTTTCGCATTCACTTTTTTTTGGGTAAACGAAGACAACTCGTAAAAAACACGTGCCTTGAACCCGTGTCGAGTGGGTTAGCAATCGTGTGCCCAACCACTCGACCATATCGTCTCCCCCATACTGGCCACCAGTTGTTCCGGTTGTTTGTACACAAACACCACGTGAACACTACTCAGTAAGCAAAAAGAGGGAGAGTACCGAACCTTGTTTTCATCAAATTACAATGACTGGGTAATGTCCCCTTTTCCCACGTTTTTTGTACAATTATATAGTGGTCTAAAATGATCAATAAAATGTTTCCATGGATCAATTTAGTAATAATAACAATTGAATATTCAATTGTCATCGGTAACAAAGCTTCCCTGAAAATTTCAGCGCGCTAGCTAACTGGGAAGTGCCCGAAATTTCGATCGCAAGATTTGATTGGAAAAACAAACAAACAAACAGAGGCGAAAGCAAGTTAAAGAAAACGTGGGAAAAACACGCACATTGCTGAAACATATTAAAAGGATCAATGTCAAATATCATTTTCGTTTATATTCCTAAAAAAGGTGGAAACATTTTCATTACAGTAGGTCGAAAAAACTAATTAATTCAACTTTTTTGGGTACTTTATGCAAGTGAGGTAATTTAAAAACATCAATAATTGAATTTTTTTTTATTCCTACCGCATTTATTATTATATGCTAAGGTTTATAATTAAAATTAAAAAATGTTAAAATTATTTATTTATATTATTTTCTAATTAGATCTAGTCTCTGATTTCTCAAAATCACAATTTTTTTGTTTTTGTTTTTCTGTGTTATTAAAACAGATGGTGAAATTAAACTTTTAGAGAATGCTGGAAACTCTCTCTGGGCGAGGACGTATGGGAAAACGTGTTTTTAATATTCAACTCACTCTCAATAGTTTTAGTTAATTTTTTTTATTACTACCGCATTGATTATTATATGGTATGGTTCATAAGTAAAATAGAAACATGTTAAGATTATTTATATCATTTTCTAATTAGTCTATGATCTCTAAAAATCACTAGTTTTTGTTTTTGTTTTTCGGTGTTAACAGATGGTGAAATTTTAGAATTATAATATAGAGAATGCTGGAAAGGCTCACTCTGGGCGAGGACAGGCTGTGTTGTGTTGTGGTTGTGTTGTGGTTGTGTTGTGGTTGGGTTGTGTTGTGGTTGTGTTGTGGTTGTGTTGTGGTTGTGTTGTGGCTGTGTTGTGGTTGTGTTGTGGTTGTGTTGTGGTTGTGTTGTGGTTGTGGTTGTGTTGCGGTTGTGTTGTGGTTGTGCTGTGGTTGTGTTATGGTTGTAATGTGGTTGTGTTGTGGTTGTGGTTGTGTTGTGGTTGTGTTGTGGTTGTGTTGTGGTTGTGTTGTGGCTGTGTTGTGGTTGTGTTGTGGTTGTGTTGTGGTTGTGTTGTGGTTGTGTTGTGGGTGTGTTGTGGTTGTGTTGTGGCTGTGTTGTGGTTGTGTTGTGGCTGTGATGTTGTTGTGTTGTGGTTGTGTTGTGGTTTTGTTGTGTTATGGTTGTGCTTGTGTTTGTGTTGTGGTTGTGTTTTGGTTGTGTTGTGGTTGTATTGTGGTTGTATATAGTGGTTGTGTTGTGGTTGTGTTGTGGTTGTGTTGTGGTTGTGTTGTGTTGTGGTTGTGTTGTGGTTGTGTTGTGGTTGTGTTGTGGTTGTGTTGTGGTTGTGTTGTTGTTGTGTTGTGGTTGTGTTGTGGTTGTGTTGTGGTTGTGTTGAGGTTGTTTTGTGGTTGTGTTGTGGTTGTGTTGTGGGTGTGTTGTGGTTGTGTTGTTGTTGTGTTGTGGTTTTGTTATGGTTGTGTTATGGTTGTGTTGTGGTTGTGTTGAGGTTGTGTTGTGGTTGTGTTGTGGTTGTGTTGTGGGTGTGTTGTGGTTGTGTTGTTGTTGTGTTGTGGTTGTGTTATTGTTGTGTTGTGGTTGTGGTTCTGTTTGTGTTGTGGTTGTGTTTTGGTTGTTGTGGTTGTGTTGTGGTTGTGTTTTGGTTGTGTTGTGGTTGTGTTGTGGTTGTATTGTGGTTGTGTTGTGGTTGTGTTGTGGTTGTGTTGTGGTTGTGGTTCTGTTTGTGTTGTGGTTGTGTTTTGGTTGTGTTGTGGTTGTGTTGTGGTTGTGTTTTGGTTGTGTTGTGGTTGTGTTGTGGTTGTGTTGTGGTTGTATTGTGGTTGTGTTGTGGTTGTATTGTGGTTGTATTGTGGTTGTGTTGTGGTTGTGTTGTGGTTTTTGTTTTTTTTGTTTTGTTCTGTTCCCAAGATGGTACATTTAAAAAAGATTTACCGTGGCGGAGCACGGGTATGCAGCTAGTATATAATATAACGCTGCTGGTAGTGTGTCAGTCCATCATCGCTATAGGTTTTAGAACCATAAAAGTATACTCATCATATTTCGTGCTTTTTACTTGCACCGCAGTGTCTTATTATAGTTAATAGAGTAGGGTTTGTTTATATTGCGACTTATTGCGATTTTATAGTTGCTACTGTTTTTACTCTTCTGCATAACGTAAAGAAAATTATAAATACACGCACATTGCTAAAATATATTAAAAGTATCATTTTCGTTTAGAATCCTAGAAAAAAGGGATACATTTAAAAATAATATTGTCGAAAAAACGAATTAATTAAACTGTTTTGTCATTTTCCAAGGGAGGTAATTTAAAAATAAATTCAACTCGCGCTTTTAAAAAAATAACGTGAATGCGAAATCTACGGACGTCCAAGAGGGAATTATTGTTGCAATAATATAATTAGCAAATGTGAATGTTAATATTGTGTTGTGTTTGTGTTGTGTTTTGTTGTTTTGTGTTTGCGTTGTGTTTGTATTGTGTTTGTGTTGTGTTTGTTTTGTGTTTGTGTTGTGTTTGTGTTGTGTTGTGTTTGTGTTGTGTTGTGTTTGTGTTTGTGAAAACGCGTAATTTTTAATCGGGCTTGTAAGTCTCGTTTTCACCCACGTTGAATTAGAAATCTCGATAGCAATGGAGAGATTTAGATTTTCAAACAGCAAGGTCCGGTGTCACCCCCACCCGTAAGAATATATATATATATATATATATATGTATATATATAATTACCTCATATCTGTTACTGCGTATTGTGATTTGTAATTTAAACTGTACATCTTTTGCAAATGGAACACGTCCAAGCACACTCGGTTTACCAGCCCATTTAGAGCCCCTAGAGTTAAAGATAACCCTTGACTGAAAAAACCTAACAGCCATATGCAAGGCGACATTTCCATATGCCGTACAATTTGAACGATTCGCTTGTTCATTCCAATTCTTTAGGTTAATTGAAAATCTATTGATTAAAAAAAGTGAGATTAGTTAAACTATAACATAAAACAAAAATTGCAAAGTAAAGCAACAGTCTCAGAAAGTATAATAACATACAATATATATATATATATATATATATATATATATATATATATATATATATATATATATATATATATATATATATAATAAAATATGATAATATTCATTTATATATTTGCGTTTGTGGTAGTGGTGTGGTAGTAGGGTGCGCTTTTTTATCTAATTCCTTATTGCGTATATTATTCCATTGTGAAATTGTTTTAGCTTAATACATCTTAAACTAATTTAGTGATATAAAAATATTTTTTTACTTGAAATAAATATCCGATTCTTACATCGCATGGTTAATTTAAAATGAGTTTAATGTTGTTATAACGTTAAAGATCCGAAATAATAAAGCGGGGGTGATCTTTCCCGTAGTGTTATATAACAATATTCGAGAAAGTTTAGGGGAGATCACTCCCGATTTATTTAAAAATCATTTTAATATCCCTAGTCGCCATCTCCTGTATTGTTATATAAGAATATTCGTGAAAGTTTAGGGGAGATCACTCCCGGTTTATTTTTCATTAATGTTACATTTTGCAATTGTTTGCTTTGACAGTGGAAATAGCAATATAATTATACACGATACGTAATAACAGTTTTCTGTTTAATGGTTTGACTCTGATTGTATGTGTACTTGTGTAACAAAAATTACAACGGGGGATAGAAGCTGATGTGAAGATTAATTTTTAGAATCAATTGTTGTTGCTATTTTGAGCGTAGCATTATGCAATGCACTTTAATTGTCCTTAAAACATTTGGTAACCAAACAAATATATGTGCATTAACTGCAACATTTGAACATGGCAATATAATATGGCTAGAGTAACGAGTATCTGATTACAGCTAGTATTTAAATATTTTAATTTACATTTTTCTTTATGAATTGTAATTATCTTTTATCTTTCAGGTTATGTTGTGTAATATAAATGGGTGTTTTGTTATTTTGCTGCGCTACGTTTTGAATGTGCAATGATCCTTAGGTTTAGTATCAATTGTGTGTATGTGTAACGTATAAAGTTTTCAAATGGTTCAATGTTTTGTATTTCATTTAATAAAATGTGTAGATTGATTATCTTTTATTTTAGATTAGGGATAGGAGTTGAACAGCATGCACTGACGTCCGATTTTATGATAGTCCTAAGAGGTAATTTGTAATTATACCCCCATCCCACCCCTCTCCCGACATATGTTAGGTCGTGCATAAACAAGTAACGATCGATTTGACTTAGGAATTTTGATGTGTTCGAACTCACCCATAATTAGAATTTGGAGTGGCAATTATTATGATTCTTTTTACCTCAAGTTGATCGTTAAAGCGAATCATCTTTGGCTAAAATCAAAATAAAACAACAATTTAGTATTATGTTTGTATCCATTTGATTTCCCTTAGTGATCGTGTATGAGTCACAAAGTAGTTATGCGTGTCTTTGTGCGTAGGTGTTAGTTGTGTGTGAGTCATGTGTGTGGTGATGCGTTAGTGTATAAAAGTGTACATGTGTCTATCGATCCCTCTCTCCATATATATATATATATATATATATATATATATATATATATATATATATATATATATATATATATATATATATATATATATATATATATATATATATATATATATATATATATATACAGAGAGAGAGAGAGAGAGAGAGAGAGCGACGGACAAATGTATTGTAAATTGTCAAAAAATTAAATGAACTGCAAGTGTTGATGCAATAATTAATTTTTTTTCTGTATATTAAATATATTCTTACTTACTGGTTGGTTGTACTGAAACAGATTTTTTCAGTAATGTTTATATATATATATATATATATATATATATATATATATATATATATATATATATATATATATATATATATATATATATATATATACATATATATATATATATACATATATATATATATATATATATATATATATATATATATATATATATATATATATAAATGACAAAATATTAATGAATATATATATATATATATATATATATATATATATATATATATATATATATATATATATATATATATATATATATATATATATTAAAGCAATATATGTGTGTGTGTATGTCTGTTTGTCTGTATATCTACAATCGTAATGTTCAGATTATCTAAAATCATCCAATACACTATTAAAATTTTACTGTGAGATATTTACTCTGATATAATTAATATGAGATCTATTGTCCATGGTATCATTTGTCCTAATATATTTTGTCCTGGTATCTTTTGTCCGTGAAATTATTTGTCCTTGAGATAATTTGTGCTTGAGCTATTTTGTTTGAGATGTTTTGTCAGAGATAATTTTTCCTGAGATCATTTGCCCTGTCACCATATATATATATATATATATATATATATATATATATATATATATATATATATATATATATATATATAGTGTGTGTGTGTGTGTGTGTATGTTTGAGTAATATTTTGAAATGCATATATAAACGTTTATTGTTATTATGTTTGAATACTTAAATTAACTAATTTCATCTCTTACTGAATACAAGATCCAATTAATTTGAGGCGTCCCACGAATCCTCATATACTTTAACTTTGTCCATCTAACCACAGTTGTAAAAGTATACGGTAAGTTGTTGAGATATATCTAGTGAATTATAATTTTAAAAAAAAATCATTTACGTAGTATAATCTTAATTTTAGACTCGAAAAAAAAATAACTAAAGTTAAATTTATAAATCCAAATCACAAAGTGCACACTTTGACATCACCTTGAATTCTTGGGGGTTTATTACTATTTTTATTTGAATTGGACCTTCAGATGTCAATGGTATTCCCTCTCTAATAGTTGCTTGTCCAAATTGTAAGTTTCTCTTATAATTCATGACGAGTGTCCTAGTATTAAATCGAATATCGGCGTGAAATTCGATGTCCACAAGACAGTTTTGTTTTTCACACAGTTCAATAATCAATCTAGATAGAGATTTGGTTAACTTTTTTTTTGACTTTTAGGCAATTAAGAGGATTATACATGTTTGAAAAATCTTACAAAGTTTAACTATCTGCCTAGATACCGAGTAATTAATAGCTTGTTACTTAAGGCAATTAACGTAAACCGTTTTGTAATCTAGCCTACTTAGACATGACAATTTCATTTAGAATTCAAATTTTTATTTTTGCTAAATAATATGTACATTCCTTTTTAAAATAGCCGTTATAACCTGCGGCCCTTTCTACCAACAGCTCCTTCGATGTGAATTTCTTTACCATCAACCATTGGATGTCTAATCTCATTAGTGTAAGGGGTGCTATACTGTGGACATTGATTTATTTATTTATACACATATTTAAAAATTGCAACTGAACATATATCACTCTGTCGAAGGAAAGACTTTGAATGTATATAAAAATGTTTATTGTCATAATACCATGTTACTTACTTAAATATATTTCTGAATCAGTATTTAAGTATAATTGTATATGAATATGCTTACACTAAGCCCTGATAGGGGGTGGGGATATTTAATAATACTATCTACCCACGATGGTTTAATCTTAACCTTAGACTAGATAAGAACCTGCTAAAATAAAATAAAAAACTTTAACAATTTAATAAAATTTATTTTACAAAAATGTAGAACCAAAATTTGATGAAAAGATATAGATTTAGATCTAAATTTAAAAAAACCAGACAAAACAAAACACTTAAAACATACAAAACAAAACTCAACAAAACAAAACACCCACATTCAGACACAGTCCAAACAGCACAGAAATACGACACAGAAACACTTCAACACACAGGCCTCGACATTCACACAGAATGTCCCTCCCTGTCCACACACAACATTCACGAACTAAAAACCAATACTACGCTCAAGAAAATAGTCCCTAATACAACAATAACTAACACTCAAGACATAAAACAAAGTGTAACCAGACACCAAAACAAAGTTTGCATAAATAATAACATCATTATATAAACAAGACAAATCAACTATAAACCATTTTAAAATCATAATCATATCAGCGCCATAACAGCGAACTACTTAACTAAAAACCACAACAATCCTCAATAATAATTAAATAATTCACCAGCCGCTTACATATGAATGCTTAGAATAGTCACCCAAAAACTAAAATTTACTCTGAGTTGGTTATCCCCCCCCCCTCCACCTCACCGCCAGAGCTGGACAGGCCGTAATTGTGTAGAGCGACATTAATGTCACACCTAGGTATACGCTGGGTAAGATAATAGAACTAAAGTGACCGGACAGTGGTGAATGATGATGACCCCCCCCCCCCCCCAAACACACACACCCCGAAAACGCGTAATGAGGTACAAAAGTACCATACCGCCAGAATCATAGCTTTTGAAACAAGGAAAACTCTGTGAATATTATTTTTGCAATTACCTGTAAAGAGGTGCGTGAGCAATACAGTCATCTAACCCATACCTTATCATTATGTTAAAAAAAATAAACCGGGAGTGATCTCGTCTAAACTTTCTCGAATATTCTTATATAAAACAACAGGGGATGGGAACTTGGGCTATAGACATGATTTTTAATCCATTTTAAATATTTAAAATTTAAAAAATAGAATAAAATCTCGTAGACAAAAGAATTGCACACCAAGTGAACTCCAAATAAAAAAGTGCATAATAGTGCGCAATATTATTAGTACTTTAAAAATTTACATTAGTTTTTTGATAAATCGGAAGTAGCGTAAATTACTACTTCCTGTCAATGGAAATTGCTCAAAATTTGAACGAAGGTAGAGAATTAGGTATTTTACTTACATGTAAAATTTCATTTATCTAAAATTTCATTTATCTATCTGAAATAGTACTCAAGTTATAGGCTTTTGAAAAATTCAAAGTAGAAAAAGTACCACTTCCGGTTATCGAAAATCGCTCAAAAGTTGATACGGATCTACGATTTTGATAAAATACTTATATATGAAATTTCATCAACCTAGCTGTAACGGTACTCAAGTTATCGTGTTTACACACACAGACACACAGTCAGACAGACACACAGACAGACACACAGACATACGGACAAGATTGCAAAATTGTGTTTTTCCGTATCAGTGAGATGTAAAACGTCGATTTTTTTTGCACGATTACAATACTTTTCTATACTTCGTATATACGAGAAAGTAAAAATGTATGATATGCATTGCAAGACTTATAATTTAGTTACATTTAGGCCAGGGGAGGGCAAAGTGCGACCCGCGGGCCACATGCGGCCCGCCACAGAGTTTTTGTGGCCCGCCAGACACACAGAAGACCCCGTCCGTCTTGAACTGCGATTTGCTTCATGTCCGCGACCAAATTAAGTGAAACCATGAACCCTCCGAAAAAGTGAAAAATTGGTGATGAATTCCTTGTTTTTTATATTGAAGAATGGACACACACATATTTCTTTGGTAATACAGGCACGAAAGCAGAATGTTTACTGTGTCATGAAATGATTGCCGTATTTAATGAGTACAATCTGAAACGACACCACAAAACAACTATATATGACAAAATCTGTTGTAAGCGTGGTTAACATAATTAGAGCAAAGGCACTCAACCAATGATAATTCAAATCAATTCTTTGGGATATGGGGGGGGGGGGGTAGATAATTAAGATGTAATCTACCACAACAGTGGGAGGTGGTAAAGCTTGGGTAAAGTGACAGCAGGTCCACTTTGACAGACAGCAGGTCAACTTCAAAAGGTGCGACCCTCCGCTAAAATCCGCTACCACAAAGTGGCCCTCGAGCAAAAACAATTGGCCATTCCTGATGTAGGCTATTATTTAGAACGAGCTGACCCGCGATGTAGCATTTGCCGCTTTTTAGTTTAATTCCTATTTTTCAGTAATTTATAATTTGTGAATTCGACACTACCAATGCTGTGACTGAAAATATTTTGCTTTAAAACTCTATCAGTAGCTAAGAAAGGACGATTATCCTCACCCTCACATTCCAGTCCACTCTTCCCCCCCCCCCCCCCACCCCGCCTCCGTGAAAGCAGCCGTCTGGGACGACAGTTTAAAGGCGACAATAAAAAGAGCAATCAGAACATTTTATTATCTCCCCTTAATTTCAATTTGTTTAAAAACTAAATTATCTGCCCCTAATAGCCGTCACTACGATTGTAAACAGCTCACCAGACTTGTCGGATTGAGGGTGGTAGTGATATGGTCTGTTGAGCTTATATCTTGGTGTTTGCATGGTCCCAATAAAGAGAATTATATATACGAGCTGACCCGCGACGTAGTATACGCCGCTATTTACTATTTTTACTGTCTATTTTTCAGTAATTCCTAATTTGTGAATTCGACAATACCAATGTTGCGACTGAAAATATTTTGCTTCAAAACACTATCAGTAGCTCGTGAAGGATAATTATCTCCACCCTCTTTTTTTTCTCCCCCTCCTTGAAAGAAGCCCTCCGTGACGACAGTTTACAGACGACAATGAAAAGATCAAACAGAACTTGTTTTTACCTTCCTAAGTTCCAAATCGTTTAAAAACTAAATTATATCTGCACCTAATAGCCACCTGGCTCTACGATAGTAAACATTTAGTGTTAACCACAGCTCACCAGACTGGTGGGGGTGAGGTGATAGCTATATGCCTAGAGAGCGGGTGTGTAACGGCGTGCGTATACGTGGTGTCTCGCATGGTCCCCATGAAGAGAAATATATATATATAGATATTCCAACTATTAAATTTATTTTTTTCTGCTTGATTGAAAAGCGTTGTTTTATACCAACTCTGATTTAAAAAGTTTCATTATGGTATAATATTTTAGCATTTATGATGACAATATATTTATTCTAATTGCAGACAACATATTTTTTGTAAATACAAATAGTATTAAGCTCATATATTACATACTAAAATAATTATTGATCTGATTTAACATTTACCATTAAATGTGTAGACATATACATTTCTATATTAAGAGAGTGATTATTTCCCCTAGTTCGATTGTCTTATTAATTAATATTCCAGAAATAATTATGTGAATTTTTTTGAAAGGACTACAAAACAGATTGTGTTGCGTTCATTGTGTTTGGTTGTATTGTGTGTATTTTTGTTTTTGTTTTTGAGTGATACATTTTTTTGTTTTGTAGGCCTAGATGGTGTTTTGTTTCTTATTTCTTCAGAGTACAACTTTCAATTTATTTAACATCATAGCAAAGCAGTGACATACAGCTAGCTAGTGTATATATATATATATATATATATATATATATATATATATATATATATATATATATATATATATATATATATATATATATATATATATATATATATATATATATATTGATGGAAAAATTTGAACCTTCCATGAGACGACCCTGGCTACCCCACTGCTTGAATGCTTAGTATTTTTTTCCAGTACTTTACAAGTTTTATTTACAATAGAGTTTCATGACTAAAAACCATTGCGCGCCTATTGAGCGTGATGACGTGTTATTGAATGTGATGACACGTGTGGAGTAGTTGGATAGAACTGCCAACTAATTAATAAAAAATTAATCAGGCGACCAATTAAGTCAAATTGAATGTCATGATGCATTGTCTTCAAGTCTTGACCCATTTACCAACTACGAACCGTATCTGTCAAGTAAAAGTGCCTGCACTTTCGCTTCTGCGTTTCGATCTAGACAGACTGACAAGGAAGTGTGTTAAATAAAAGTTTGTAAAAAAGGATTAAAAATATCATGTCTATATCCCGAGTTGCCATCCCCTGTTGTTTTATATAAGAATATTCGAGAAAGTTTAGGGGAGATCACTCCCGGTTTATTTCTTATTTTAATGTTACACAATACGCTAGAATACAATTGTTTTCTTTTTTAAGTGTTAAAAGTGGTATCTTATCACCAATCCAGTACAAGTACTTGAGATTTTTGTTCGCGATAAAGCGCCCCACCCCCACACCATATTGGACAAATTTGGTAGAGCGGAATTTAACATAACTAACTTTTTTTTAAAAATGATAAACAATCATACTATGCGTTTTAGTACTATTAGTTTCTTTTCTTTGATAAAGAATATCGACTCACCAATCCAATGTAAATCCCTGCAGCATCTTGTTAAAAGTCATTACCTTTTTTACGGTTAAACAATCGTACAATACGCTTTAATACTATTATTTTCTATGTGCTAATGTTTATCAACTCACCAATCTAAAGTAAATTCTTCTGATTTTAGTCGCAAAAATGCGCCCCTCCCCAGCTAGGTCTCTTTTTCTTAAGGGTTATATATTTTACAGTTAGACAATCAAGGTAGAAAACAGTAAAATTAATGTGTAAAGGCTTGTAGCCGTTACATTTCTCAACTATTTATAATTTAAAACTGCAGCATAAAATCAGCTTTTACATTTTTTTCCAACCCCATTTGGCTACCCACTAGGGTCTGCGCTCGGGGTGGCCCCCCCCTCTAGCTACGTCTCTGCACGTTACATACCTTTACATTGCAGTAAAATTAATTGGAAATTGATTTAAAATATTTTTAAAATGATAATTGAAACATGTGAAATCTTCATGTGCGGTATTTAACCACAATGTACGAAAAAAAGCGTAATAAAAACATGTAAGATGATTAAAGAAATCTGTATATGCACATTAAAGTAATGACCTGCGATGAGCTTCGTTTTGTTTGCTGTTGAAAAGTGCCGTTGTCCAGGTTCGTCATTTGTAGAGAGTCTCCGCCATGCACCAACCAGAAACTCGTCAGTAGAGAAAAAAACATCAGTACCAGCTTAAACTTGGTGCACTGGTCCTATTTTAAAATATTTTATATAAAATAAACAAATGATTTTCAGTGTTTTAATAAGTGCTTAAATAGGGAAAGGAAATAGTTTTATCCTACATTACAAGTCAATAGACGACGACGCTAGGTATGAGGCCAATTTTCAAGTCAATTAAGTGTTCTGAAATATTAATGCAATACACTAAACAGAACTATTTATTAATGCGATAATAGATATTTTCGCAAGCTCATGACCAATCATGCGTAAGCTGTAAAAAACAAAATTAGATACGTTTTAAATTCTAGCACCCATTAAAGCCAACCGATACCTAACCAGTATCTGAATGCTAACCCAAAATTTAAGTTGTTCATACATTAGTCTAATTATTTTTTAATTCTCCAGACACATTATAATCCAGCTTTAAAGAATTTTAGTTCTAACATAAAAATTAACCTGTTCAATAATCGAACAATAACACGCCGATCTTAATCTAGCAGTACAGCATACCGAAATCACAATTGACTAGACACTAAGGGCGATCCTCACTCATATTTTAAAGTACTAAACCTATTCGAACAAGCTTATAAATAGTGGGGTCTGCTTAGCCTTAAATATTATTCCTTTTGATATACAGCAAAACCGGCTTAATTTTTCTTTAGATTAACGAAACAAGTTCACTTACCTAATAAATTATTTTTTCTCAGGTTCTAACGATCATTTTTACTCTTTACTATTTAATACACACACTTGCTGTGGAGAATTCAAAATGGTTTCCCTCACCTATGAGATACGCGCCACGTTGACAAGAAAAGATGGCGGACAGTGAATCATGAACTTAAAGACAATTACGCACGTAACGTCATCTGCAGATGATGTTCACAATTATTCCTGATACCGAAATCCCATATCACGTCTTTGCAGCGTGTCTAATTTTAAAAGGTCAACACTTTGATAGGTTCCGTCAGCGCGTAATTAAAAATTAAATGCTTTTTTTCCCCATCAGGGTAAATTATAGCCTTATGGTGCGTTAGTTAAACTGAAGTGGTTTAGTTTTGAGTTAGTGTAAGGGTTTAATTTCAGGTTACGTTTATATTAAACTAAATGTTACGGTTCAGGTTTCAGATTTAAGGCTTTGGCTGAATCTTAGCCTTAAAGTAAAGTAAAGTTTCCCTATGGGGCAAGTGAAGTAGAGTTCACATGTTTCTGTGACCTCGGCATATGAAGAGATAGTGTGGTCAGCACTATGTATGCCCAGCCGCCTTTACTAACGTGAGTTAGGTACCCATCAGAGTTGGGTGGACTCAGGGACGGTCTACTTACTTGAACTCGGAGACTTACGGTTTAGCAGTTCAGCTCTCTACCGCTAGACCACTCCGTCCCATATCTACGCCTCAGGTTTAGGTTTAACTTGCGGCTTAGGTTGTGGTGTCAGTTAAGATAATAATTTAAGTTTAGGGTTAGTGTTAGGATTAATGTTAGGGTAAGTGTTAGGGTTAGCTTCATCGTTAGAGATACATTTAGCGATTAGGATTGATCTTTGGGATACTGGTAGAGATTATTGAGTGGAGAGTAAGTGTTATGAGGGAGTAGTGTTTTAGACACAATACATTCATGCTCACAGAAAACTGAAGGTTGGGTGTGGCGAAATGTGCCCTTGTGGCAAGGCCCCCGGAAAATACGGGGCACGTACTCCAGGAATGTACTTTGTATAGCCAGGCACGAGTCAGACACTGGCCCCTGCCCACCCCACTCAGGGAAAAATTATATGGGGCACCTGCCAAACTGGAGACCACAGTCCGGTTTGTCCACGAAGTTGGACTTGTTGTCTGAATCCTCCACCATATTCACAATTAAGAACGAAGAAGAAGAAGAAGAAGATGCTCATTTTATAGTGTGGTCAGCACTATACTCAGCACTATACTCAGCCGCCTATACTTACCCTAACGTGACTTAAACCCGGATTCGAACTCGAGACATACGGATAAGCAGTCTAGCTTTCTACCGCTAGGCCACTCCGTATCTTTGTGGTTTTGTGGGTTATGTTATAGTTTTAAAAATGAAACATCGATTTTTTAAAGTTAAATTCAATTTTGTTTTATTTAGTAGTAGAGACCCATGGAAGACATTAGTTTGACTAAATTAAAATCGATTTTAATATGCTTTCAAACTCTGGATTATAAAAAAGGCTGGTCAACAATTATCTGACCGAATAATTTAATCAAAACCCACCCACTGTTATCTTTTGTCCGCATGTCTTTCTACATGCTAGCATGCCTGCCTGTATGCTTGGCTGTCTGTCTGTATACCTATAGACATATATATATATATATATATATATATATATATATATATATATATATATATATATATATATATATATATATATAAGACGGCTGCTAGTGTGTCAGTCTTTCATTCCTTTCGTCATCGCTAAAGAATTAAGAAACATAAAAGTCAACTGTTTTACCCTGACTTATTCCAAATATTATGTTATTTATGTATCGACTTAAATTTTTTGATAGCTGGCATGATCTCTTATAATCACTATTTTGTTTTTTTTTTAATTTAAATTGATGGTTACATTAGAGAATGTTGAAAAGGCTTTATTTGGGCACGGACGCCAGGAAAAGAGTGTTGTTCGGCGGTGGTTCTTTTTACATCGCGTTTGTGTTTGTCTTTGCGTGTGGCGTTTGTGTTTGCGTATTTTTTGGGGATTAATTTAAGAAAGAAAATTTGTCACTTATATTTTATAGTTTGAATAGTTGCAAATGCGTTTCTTAAAGTGTAAGGGAGGAAAAGTAAGACATACCACGCCCTTTTAAGTTCAAGTAAGACATTCCACACCCATGGGAGGTCAATTAAGACATAACACGCCCATGTGAGGTCAAGTAATATGTTACAAGCCCATGGGAGTTCAAGTAAGGGAACACACCAATGGGGTCAGGTAAGAGAACACGCTCATGGGAGGTCAAGTACGACAGCACGCCCATATTGTAGGTCAAGTAAGACAAAACTCTCCTATGGTTGGTTCTAATTTCCCGTACCTATCCGGGTGAAGAAACCGCATGCCTTCAGAGAAATAAATAGGAAACCATAAACTAATTTGCCATGATTTGGTAGTAAGGAGTTGAACTTGTCCAATGTCAGTGTTAGACTTAAAAGATGTTTATAATTTTTCAAAAAATGTTTGGGGTTTTCTTTGTTTTTTCGATACAATTTCTAATTGTATCTGACAAAAATACAAAGTGAGGCCTTATGTAAAGTTAAAAGAATAAACAAATGCAAGCCTGTTTTGTTATGATGTTCACTTAACCATCTGAAACAGCACCAATATTTTTAAATTGGGAAAATGAGAATTTAAAAATTCAAAGGCATTATCCTTTTGACTGTTGGATGTTATTGAGTACATCCAGCCCTGATGGGTACCTGACAAGTTGGAGAATGCAAAGCCGGCTGGGCAAAGTGCTGAGCCAACCATTCCTTTATGCACCGAGATCAAGAAACATGAACTCAACTTTATCTGCCAAATGGATCGCTAGGTCGAAAGAGGAATCTACTTATTACTTGAATGTGTATGATCAATTATAATATACGTCCGTTTCCCCGGATCGAATTCACAACTTATGAATTACTGAAAAGTAGAAAATAAAACCACTAAACAGCGGCGTATGATACGCCGCGCGTCGGCTCGTATATATGGAGGCTAACAAAAATAAACATTATTCTCGTCGGCAAAACCCCTCAGTGTCGTCAGATTTGTCCAGATGGCGTATTTTCTTATATGAACAATTGGGTTCTTATCCAACAAGTTTTGTGTTCTGCGCATTAACGTATTCGTGTGGCCATTCGTGTTTCCTTTTTTTCTCGCATACGAAGTATAGAGAAAGTACTGTAATCGTGCAAAAATTTTTGATGAAATTGCATGTTTAGGAATTATATTGATTTTTAAGTTTTGTATTAATTTTTGAACCATTTCCGATTATATATTTTTTAAAATGCGGAATTCTATTCTGTTTACAAGCATCTTATAAGCTTTTGTTTTAGTTCGCAACGTCTGTTTTTTGTTTTTTGTTTTTGGATTGGTGGCTAATCCTGTTACTCTATTTCAATCCACTTCTAATGCAGCGATTTCGTTCAAACTTTTCAGATACGTTTCAATTTAGTGAACAAAAATATAATACTCCAAGCTTATCCTTAAATGGAAAGAAATAAACATATCGGATTTGTATGACCTGGTTTATCAAATTATATTGATTTAAAAAATAATTAGTAAACAGTATGTTCAGTGTATAGAATAAATAAAAGGCAGTATTAAAAATACCAACGACATTGCACTTAATCAATCCCCACTAATTATGTAATTTTTTTTCCTAACACCAAAACAAAGTAATAAAAAGTAAATTCTTTCTTCCCCGATTTAATGGGGTTTTTAAAGGGAAGTAACTGTGTTTTCCAAATCAAGAGACGTTATGAGAACTAAAGGACAAAATGCAAATACATTCCAGACACAATTTTTGAAATTTTATAAACGTTTATACGCTTTTTAAAATTTTTATGTAATGTTCATAATTGAAAATTATTATTCTAAATATATAAAATGAAAATTGTTTTAAAAGACTTTCAATAGTAATTTTTTAACTCATAAATTTATACCATTGGCACTATAACAATCTAACACTTAAATCCATCGAAGTATCCACGACAAACATTTTACAAACAAACATTTTACAACATTGGCGGAACTAGAAAAAAAGGGCCACCCCGCAAATATTTTTTTTGGGCCCCATATATATATATATATATATATATATATATATATATATATATATATATATATATATATATATATATATATATATATATATATATATAAATTAAAAATACTTACTTATACTTTTTAAAAATTTAAAACGCGTCATTTTTGTGAGTGCTTATTAGTCTATCTTGAAAATCTCTATTTTTATAAATGATATTTTTGCTATAATGCTTCCTGTCAGTGTTTCTTCCAGACTTTTTTCTCAGGGGGGGGGGGGGGCACTTGATATTTTCGGGGGGGGGGGGGGCGGACACTGGTAAAAGTATATATTTTCTATATAAATTATATAAATTTCATTTCGTTGGAGGGGGGCGGTAAAATTTGTTTGAGATGCCTGGAAGAAACTCTGTTTCCAGAAAGTAAGTCGGTCAAAAGAATATGAAGCATAAAAGCTTTGTATGTACAATGGTTTCTCACGTTATGTTTATTTTCATGTTTTTTCGTATTTATATTATTAGTTTTAAATACATTTCCTGTTTATGCTTTGTCATTCTTTATTATGTATTTTTTTTAAAATAATAATTAAGAGAGGTTATTGCTTTTTAATTTGTTTAGTGCAAATCTATTAAAAGGTGCTTGAGAGCACATATATTCGACTATTAATAAAAGGGAAATAAGTCATGTAAGTGGTTTGAACGTTTGCGTATCTTTCACGCGATTCATTTGTTTTCAAAAGAATTTTACCGACAACAACGTGTGTTTGATTGTAGGAGAAAGAAGACTCGGGATGGTGTCTATAGAATAAAGATAATGAAACCACAGCTACAGTATTCTGTTATCAAGTCAAAAATGCAAGAGTTTTTTTTAACTGTAAAAAATAACTGATTATGGTCGGCTGCGGGCCCCTAAACTGCCCGGGCCCCCCCGCATTGCGGGGTCTGGCGGCACTGTAGTTCCGCCCCTGTTTTACAAACAAACATGCAGAATTGAACTTTATATATTAGATTGTCGGTATGTCCATCAAACAAAGTAAAAAAAAAATCACCTTTCACAAAATTATTTACATTTAGTCCTTTAGCACCCATTAGTCCCTCGATGAATTAGGAAAAAAAAACACAATTACTTCCCTTTAAAAAAAACATTACATCAGGGGAACAATTACTTTTTATTATTTTGTTTTGGTGTTGGAAAAAAGACTTACATAATTAGCACGGATTCATTAAGTGCACGTGGTAGGTATTTTAAATACTGCCTTTTATTTATTTTATACACTGAACGTACTGCTTAACCATTATTTTTTAACCAAAGACCGTTGACGTAAAAAAAGACATCTTTATCCGGAAACAAGAATCCCCGCAGGTTATTATTTGGGTTTCATGACAAATGATCTCAGGACAAATGATCTCAGACAAAATTTCTCAGACAAAATATCTCACGGACAAATGATCTCAGGACAAATGATCTCAGGACAAATGATCTCAAGGACAAATGATCTCACGTACAAAAGATACCAGGACAAAATATATCAGGACAAATGATACCATGGACAAATGATCTCAGACAAAATATCTCAGACAAAATATCTCACGGCTAAATTTTAATAGTATATACGATGATTTTAGTTGACTCTAACTGTTTTTTTTTATTGTCTGTCAATATGGTTTTGTTTACTTTTCTACGCTTAATGATTGTTAATAAAGTGAATTTGTTAAACTTAACAAAGCATCAAAAAATGTATTAAACTTAATCTTTCTAATAGCATTTGATTTAAAAAATTAAAATTAAAAGAAACTTACTCCTGAAATGTATAATAAATGATAATGTATAAAAATAAAGTAACGGTAGCTATACAACATTTATGTTCAAAACACGCGAAATATTTTTCAAAAATGTGAATGGGCCTTTAGGTTTGTATCGTAAAACTATTTTTTATTGCATCATCAACACAAACGAAACGCTTACGTTTCTTTGCCGGCAGGTACATCGTTATTATCACACCTCTCCAATACTATGTGATCATGTGTTGTGTGAACTTTAGCTCGACATGTCCTAACTTCAGATTTACAAATCCCTTTGCCTGCTGCTCCACTTATGGCTTTTATAAACATAAATCTCCAGAAACTAATGTTGTATACCCTTTCTGCGAGGTAACGAAAGAAGCCATAGCTGAGTAATCACCACTAATACTTCTTTGTTTGCTTGCTTACTACGACAAACGTAGCTCCGCGATGACCGCTGTCGTTTAAATAAGCATTTGTCACCAGATCACTAAGGTGTGACCGACGCATAACTATTGACTTTAGAATCTAGTTGTATTGTCCATGGAGGTCAGATATCTATCCCTTAAAGCATGTCTCTGCCATCAAAGCTGGCTGCCACCTTGATACAAAGGTGTGTCTTTATTGTTATTTCATCCCCTTTGATCTAGTTTCGTCCACCTGACGTGGTACGATTGTCTCATGGTTGGCAAGCTCACCTACGTTGTCTATCGAAAAATTTCTTTAATCTTCACATACTATATTAGTAATCTTAGTTTTAAACTGTTTAGTGCAATATTACAAATGTATGCTGCAATCATTTCTTAAAATTATTATATTGACCAATAAACAATATTAAACATAGTAAACAAAACCACATGACAGTCAATAACAAAAAAATGTTCAGATCAACTAAAATCCTCCAATACACTATTAAAATTTTGCTGTGAGATATTTTGTCTGAGATATTTTGTCTGAGATCATTTGTCCATGATATCATTTGTCCTGATATATTTTGTCCTGGTATCTTTTGTCCGTGAGATCATTTGTCCTTGAGATCATTTGTCCTGAGATCATTTGTCTTGATATCATTTGTCCGTGAGATATTTTGTCTGAGATATTTTGTCTGAGATCATTTGTCCTGAGATCATTTGTCCTGTCACCATTATTTGTGTCTTTTGTTTTGCGCATTACTTTTTGTCTGTTCTGTTTGATGCACTTTTTTGTCGGTCGCACCAACCATGATGAACGTTGTCTTTTTTACGTCATCATGGTGCGTACCTTTTTTTAAGCAGACTTTTTAAACAGTGCATTTAGCAGCATAAAGTTTTACTACCGAAGAAACAATTGGATAAGAAAGGTTATTATAGTCTTTAAGTGAATCAAATCTGGGCGTCCTCTGGCGCCCAGAGAGGGTGCTGTTTTGCGCCCCGGGCTTTCCCGTTCTTTTAAGTGAGTGCAAAAGACTATGATTGAGTTGGGTTACTATAGTCGTTTACTTAGCTGAAACAAGCCGTTCCGCCGGCACCCCAGCATGGTGCGATTTGGCGCCCAAGTGTAGACTGTGGGCACTTTGCGTTAATGTTTGCGTTCCATTTGTGTATGGGTTGGGTTTGCGTTTGTGGTAGGGTTTGCGTTTGGATTTGGTTTGTTTTCGTTTCATTTTTCGCTTGTGCTTTCTTTGTATTTGTATTTGTGTTTGTGGTTGGGTTTGTGTTTGTTTTTGCGTTTGTGTTTTCGTTTGTGTTTGTATTTGTGTTTGCTTTATGTTTGCGTTTTTTGTGTTTTTGTTTTGGTTAGTTGTGGTTATGGTGGGCAATTCCGGGTATATGCTGATTTCTAAACACACACGACATGTTTTTCTTTAAATATTTGAATTGATAAAATAATTCTAAACGTCCTTTCAACTGCTTATATTCAATACAAAAATACGAAAACGTTTTTAAAATGTAACTATAATTTTTATCGCTTGCCATCTTTTTAAAAGATAAAAGTTTTTGTGATATCTGAACACATTCTGAAAACGTTTCAAATCTAGCGCCTTCTTTTTCCAGTTAGTTCTAAAATGCTTTGTATTTCTTTTTCTCCTATTAGTCTATCTTAAAAAATTACTATTAAGTACAATATAAAAGAAATACAAATACCCTTCACAATAAAAAGCCTTAAATTTAACGCAGCGACAATAAGAAAACAATCTAAGCACACTTTCATTAATAAAAGAATTGGTCGACCATAAAAGCATCAGACATTTTAGCGTCCCAAGTTTTTTATTAAGATAAATTAGGCTCTTTATTTTTAGTGCATTTAAAATCTTATTAAATTAAATTTAAAAAAAAAGTGTTCTATTACTTTAAGAATCTTTACATTCCGATTATCTTAACTTATATTAAAAGCTATTGAAATAGTGTATTTTTCCTGTGCAATTATCAGGCTACATTTTCTTTAAACGTTTATAAATAACTTAGCGTGCCCTTCCACGCGCGTTGCAATTAAGCTAGAAGAAAGTCTGACGAAATATTTTAAGAGGGTTTCATCAATGCTCTACTAATCCATTATTCTTAGACGCGTGGCATTGATTTCTAAAACTGAGTAATTTAAATGTAAACAATGCCTGCTTTGCATCTCTTAGATCATATTTGTCGCGCAACACTCCCGCCCCTCCCCTCCCCCTACAAAATAAAATAAATTAAAAGCATTAAAGATAAATAAATATATTTCTTTATATATATATAAAATATATAAATAAATAAATAAATAAATAAATATGTATATATATATATATATATATATATATATATATATATATATATATATATATATATATATATATATATATATATATATATATATATATATATATATATATATATATATATATATATATATGAATTAAAAATGAACCAATACAGTTTAAATTTAAAAAAATAGATCAATAAATAAAATAAATATATTTATATAATTTATAAATAAATAAATTTATAAATAAATAAATATTAGTGTGTAAATTTCTTTCTTTTGCACTGTGATATGATTTCTAATGCGATGTTCCACAGTCAATGCTTAAAACGAAAGAAACGTCGGTTGAAAGATTATAAGGAACTGGTGAATGCTTTTAGAAAACAATTGCATTTTAATTTTTTTTTTAAAGATGACATTACATAGGGTCTTTATACTATATGCTAGTATTGATTTATTTAACACACTGAAGCGTTTTAAAAACGTGTCAGGATTTTATGTTTAAATTTCTTTAAAAGGCGGCTCTCTCCTGCGCTGTGCTTGAAGTTAATACAGTGATTTTTATGTTGTCAGAATGTTGTGGACTGTCAGATCACCGTCAATGCACAACATATCTACGTTTTCATTTGCGAGATTCCAGTTGTGAACACTGCCATCGCCAAAGAGAAGCTTGGAAAGAAAGAAAAAAAATCACAACCTCTCTTTTTCACACACACAATCACAAACTTAAACATATATGTATATATACATATACGTACACACACATATCTCTCCCTCTCTCTCTCTCTCTCTGTATATATATATATATATATATATATATATATATATATATATATATATACATTTGTAAGGAGCCTGCATTTATTATTTAAAATCTTGTTTTTAGCGAAATCTCAAGCCCTGGTCTGAAAATATAACTTTTTAAAAAATATCCATTAGCTTCCATAATTAGAGACAATTTTCAATTACATACTGTTGCGAAATCTTCAAATTCAAGAATACAATGAATTTATCTAGCTAAAGGTAAAAACTAGAGTTAAGCTGTCGGAGAACAATGTGATTAAACCAAAAATACTTGTTTAAAAAAAGTATAAAACAGTGGTGAACTAGGAAAAAAATCATAAAAAAAACTTTTAATAATAATTATAATACCTTTACTAATAATTGAGAAGAGACCCATGCTTTTCTTTATGGTAATTTAAATAGTAGTGTATAATTTATTCTCTACTTTTAGTGCATTATTACATAAAAGCTTGTTATTAAAACGTTTTTTTATGAAAAACAAGTTAATAAAAAGTCTAGTGACAATTTAAGCGCAATTTCCTTATGTTATCCATAACAATTTTAAATCGAGATAAATCATATATTCAGCAAATAAATAAGTTGTCGCGCTCTCTATATTGCTATATAGAACTGCTAGCGCAGTTCGCTGCTAAGCCAGCCAGGTCACATGATTTACCCTCCTCCTCCTTCGCCTTCCACTGCCTTCTTTGCTATATAGTACTGTAATGTATTATGTATAATGTAATTTAAAAAAAAAATTGTGACGAACGAAAGGATATTTTTGAAAACTTTCTTCGGCAATATTGTTCTAAATTATGGCAGGAATCGATTGTTAAAATTTCAAGTCGCTAAGTGGTCTGGTTGCCGAGATATGGGCCAAAAACTGCATGTTTTCGAGGTTTTTTGGCTTTTACGGAAATCCAGGAAGGAATTCCGGTAATTTTTTTTTGCCCACAATCATCGTCGGAACTTGCTTAACATATTTGCTTTGGAACTAGTCCTCGATATTGCTTCGTTGAGGAGGAGATACGACTTAAAGCTGCGGACATCCATCCATCCATTCCCAGAAATGACGAGTTAATAATCGCAATTCTCCAGAATGGAAATTGCGCTAAAAGTTTCAGTACTTTACATGTTTTATTTACAAAAGAGTTACATGACTAAAAACCATTGCGCGCTTATTGAACGTGAAGGCGCAGCTATTGAACGTGATGACGCGTGTGGTGTGGTTGGATAGATACTCCTACTAAATCGGTCGAAATTTTAATTAATTCATTAAAAAAAATTATTAGGCACCCAATTAAGTCAAATTTAATTTCAGATTGCATTGTCTTAATGTGCCAACTACGAATCGTATCGGTCAAATAGAAGTGTCCGAATTTTCACTCCGGCGTTTAGATCTAGACTGACGACTTGCGATAGAGGAATTGAGTTAAATAAAAGCTTGTAAAAAAATTCATATAAAACGTTTTAATAACAAGCTTTTTTATAATAATGCACTAAAAAGTAGAAAATAAATTGTAGACTACTATTTAAATAACTAGAAAGACAATTTTTTCTTAAGTTTCTAATACTGTTGACTCTCTACAAGCTCCCTAATAAAACTCAATAGTATTATCTAATCAATAGTAATATAACTTTTACATCTTATATTAACAATGACCGATAAAAAACTTTTACTTCGGCGCCCCACGTTTTACATCGCTTATAGTAGAGTGATCGCTTGCATTATTGTGATGTATAGCATTTATTTTCTACTTTTTAGTTCAATCAGAAAACGTGGTTTTTTAAAACTTTTTTAATGATAATTATTTATGAATTTTTTTTCAGTACTTAACATGTTTTATTTACAAAAAGAGTTACATGACTAAAAACCATTGCGCGCCTACTGAACGTGATGGCGCAGCCATTGAACGTGATGGCGCAGCTATTGAACGTGATGACGCGTGTGGTGTGGTTGGATAGACATGGCTACTAATTCGGTCCAAATTTTAATTAATTCATAAAAAATTAATTAGGCATCCAATTAAGTCAAATTTAATTCCAGATTGCATTGTCTTCATGTCTTGACCCACGTGTCAAATGTGAATCGTATCGGTCAAGTAGAATTGACCGAATTTTCACTCCTGCGTTCGGTCTAGACTGACGAGGAAGTGAGTTAAATAAAAGCTTGTAAAAAGAGCAACATCCGAAAACATTTTATGGGCTTCTTATATATATATATATATATATATATATATATATATATATATATATATATATATATATATATATATATATATATATATATATATATATATATATATGTTACGGTCAAAGCCCGAAGTGCGGCCAATGCCGGCTCTCTTGGCCAAAGCCCGAAGAACTTAGCACTAAGATCGTACTTCGTACATTGGCCGGCCAATGCGCGCACTGGCAGGGACGTACTGGCCAAAGTCCGAAGCGCTTAAACTTGACAGCGTATTTTGTACATTGGCAGGCCAATGCGCGCACTGGCCGGGATGTCCTGGCCAATGTTCTATCTAGACGAAGTTGTGATCGCGTTTTCATTATTCTGGGTGCGGTTTCATTGTAACGTATTGTTTAGCTCTTGTTTGTATAGCATTCTATATGCAAGGCGACATGGATCAAAAGGGCCGTCAGACCAAGAGACAGACATAGCAGATGGCTGTCAAAAGAAAAATGTAGTTTCTATATATGGGCTACAACTGTATGTGACAGCCTCCTCCATGATGACAATCATCAAAGAACAAAATCAGACAGTCGGCGTCATCGACCACGTGCAACAAGACGGAACGTTCAAAAGACTTTCCTTGTTAGTTGAACAATAGTGTCCAAGCGACTTGAGATGGCGTGGGCGTCAGAAACCATATTTCCCCAACAAAAGGAGAATACCAAATGAAGCAGACCTATCACGGCGCCTTGACTGGACTGCATGATAAATACCGACAGAATTTCCTTGCATTCCAGATTTCTTGAGAACATTGAACAAGAAATGGAGGTTGCCATAAATGCAACAACATCCTCAGCTAAAACATCTGCTGCCGTGGCGGAACGTCCAGACCAGTTGCGTGACAATAATGTAACCAACAGATTCTGTATAGTTTGTGAAAAACATTGTAGTGCAGCTCATTCTTGTGGATCCTGTGGCAACGATGTCCATGCTATTTGTGGAATACCCAATGAAGCAGACGAAGGGTACGGAGGAAATATTACCTGCAGATTGTGTCGCAACAAACAAGACATCATGGAACACAGGTCAGCAGCTCATACTGGCTTGCAAACTCAAGGTGCTAGGATGCTTAAAACATCAAATACAAAATTTAAAGATGCTGAAGTGGGTGACAATATACGCATCCGTGTTCCAGATGTTGACAGAGGTCGCGGTGATCCCCGAAGCGTGATTGCAGTTATCATGAGAGTCAAGAGCGGTTTCCACAAATTAGGAACGGAACATGGTGTTCTAAATCAACTGTATGCTAGAAGTGAGTTTTCAATTCTTCACGAAAAACTGCTCTTATTGTCGTCAGTTGGCACTTAGGAAAAATCACTACGAACCATCGCATCTTCACAATCATTGACTGGGCGCCAAGGTTACACTCGCTGCAATTGCACAACCAAGTGCACAACAAATCGCCGCAAGTGTAAAAATAACAAGCTACTATGTAATTCTAAATGCCATAAAAGTTCAACTTGTTGTAACAAATGATAATAGTGATTGATTGAGACTATAGTACAATAAAAAATTTGAATGTTTCTGTCATTTACTTTAATTAATAATCAATAAATACTTAATTTCATGATCCTTACGGCATAAAAAAATAGCCAAAATCTGCTCCTGATCTTCTAATTCGGACTTTGGCCGGTCGCCCCTAGCCAGATGATCTTCTAATAAAGACTTTGGCCGGTCCACCATGGCCAATCCGCGGACTGGCCGGCCAAAGGCCGAAATCAAGCAAAGTTTCGGACTTTGACCGTCCAATGGGAGACGATATTGGCCATTGCGCGCATTGGCCGGCCAATCCGCTCATTGGCCGACTTCGGGGTTTGACCGCAACACACACACACACACATATATATATATATTGAATTTATATATATATATATATATATATATATATATATATATATATATATATATATATATATATATATATATATATATATATACATTCTCAACAACTTCCAAAAGTTTCATGGCGATCGGGTGAAAAGTGTAGTAGTGCATACAACACAGACAGACAGAGAGACAGAGAGACAAAAAGCCAGAGAGAGACAGAGAGACAGAGAGACATACAAACAGACAGACAGACAGACAGACAGACAGACGGACAGACGGACAGACTGACAGACGGACAGACGGACAGACAGACAGACAGACAGGCAGGTAGGCAGGCAGGCAGACAGACAGACAGACAGACATACAGACAGACAGACAGACAGACAGACAGACAGACAGACAGACAGACAGACAGACAGACAGACAGACAGACAGACAGACAGGCAGGCAGGCAGGCAGGCAGGCAGGCAGACAGACAGACAGACAGACAGACAGACAGACAGACAGACAGACAGACAGACAGACAGACAGACAGACAGACAGACAGACAGACAGACAGACAGACAGACAGACAGACAGACAGGCAGGCAGGCAGGCAGGCAGGCAGGCAGGCAGGCAGGCAGGCAGGCAGGCAGGCAGGTAGACAGATATATTAAATAAATAAATATATATATATATATATATATATAATATAAGCGAGCTGTTAGTGTGTCAGTCCTATTCCTTCATTCCTTCCTTGTGTCATCGCTATAGCTTTTGTTTGGGGGTCTCACCTTGGGCGCGGACGGCCGGGAAAACGTGTCGTTTGGCGACGGTTTAGATGACGACGCGTGTGTATGGGAGGAGAGATGTCTGGGCGGACATCAATTATTTTTTTTTTACCGTAGTTTCATTTTTGTGAATATCTATATTCGCACCAAAAGATGCTACCGACACACGCGCGCAGCGCGGTGCACGGAAGGGATGTACGCCCCAACGCTGGGACTCCTATCTGAGGTAATATCCATAACCTCACCTTTGTGAAGCACGGGTATAAGAAGCCCCAAATATAGAGACCGCACCCGCGCGGTAAACTCCACACCGTGGCGATATCGACACCGTAGCGAAGCACGGTGTTTAAGCGTTTGTTTTTAGTTTTGTTAGGTTCATAAGTTGGTATAATTGGAAAAAGATTCAGCGTGGCTGAGTCCGGGTATGCAGCTAGTATATATATAACGCTTGTGGTATTGTGTCAGACAGTCATCGCTATAAATTTTGGAACCACGTGGAAGTCTCTCCCTGGGCGCGGACGGCAGGGTAAACGTGTTGTTCGGCGGCGGTTTAGATGACGACGCGGGTTCAGGGAGGAGAGATATCTGGGCGGATGTTCGTGATAGCGTTGGCTCTCAATTTTTTAAACCGCAATTAAATTTTCGTGAATATCCATGCTCACACCAAAGTGCTACGAATGTTCGTCCGAATGCGGGTACCCATCCGCGCACGACCCCATATTCGCAGCAAAGTGCTACCGACATCCGCTGAAGGAATATTCGCGGAAAATGCGGTGACCCCCATCCGCGCGCAGTGCGGTAAACTCTGAGGTCATATCCATATCCACACCGTGGCGAAGCACGGGTATAAGCGTTTGTGTTTAGTTTTGTTCTGTTATCAAGTCGGTACATTTAAAAATGATTCACCGTGGCGCAGCACGGGTATGCAGCTAGTATATATATATATATATATATATATATATATATATATATATATATATATATATATATATATATATATATATATATAATTACCTCATATCTATTTTTGCGTATTGTGATTTGTAACTTAAATTGAACATTCTTTGCAAATGGAAAACGTCCGAGGTGACGATTCATTATCCACGAATCACCCAAGGGCTTAGAATCAAAGACTACATGCTTATCCCAATACCAAAACCTAACACTCATATGAAAAGCGACGATTCCATCTCCACAATTTGAATGATTTGCATGTTGATTCCAATTCTTTAGGTTGATTGTAAATCTAATGATTAAAAAAATATCGAGAATTATTAAATGATATGATTAAAAAATCGCTTAGGTATTTAAAAAAAAAACGGTACAACGCAATACATACAACAAAAACCTTTTTTTTTTTCTTTTCTGCGCCCAGGTAAACCAACAGTCTTAGACAGTAACCTATAATACTATACTATAATATATGATTTTTTGGTTCCCAGGAAAAAAGCGCAACATAAAAAAGCGCATAAAAATGTTTGCAACGGAAAAAAAGTCTGTATAATTGTTAATTAATAACAAATGCGGCATTATTTTCTGAAATAAATAGAATCATAAATTCCTATGATTTTTCGATTGTAGATTGCTTTTTACCAAATGTGATAAGCCCACAAGTCGTTTGACCTCAGCCATGGGTTGTCCACAGATAGTTTGTTCACAGCGGGTGTTGGTCAATAGGGTTAGACCATTGGTGACTTGCTTGACTAAGCCGATTTGTGTTCTAGCTCACTATTACAGAGGTTGATTAACACGCACTTAAGGCTTTCATATAGTACGCCTTAGTGCGTCTTGGCGGCAGTGTGGACAAACCCACGCCCCAAAAACGAATATGTGGGTTAGCTTGTTTAAGCATTACCTAACATTTCATTCGTTTGTCATTCAAATTCTAGAAGCTATTGCTAATACCCCTATGATGGTTTCTGCGAAAAAAAATCGATTTGGTGACGCTCCGGTAGGGTTCGATTTAGCTCCCGTGAGTACTATGGTACCTTCGTTCGTTTTAATAATTGCAAAACGCTATGAATTCGATAAGCTACTATAATCGCTCACTATACCGAGTGAGGCGCCTTCCTACCTAGGCCCCCCTACATACATACCTATCTCCCTGCCTACCTACCTACCTATCTACTGACCTGCCTTCGCTGCTGCCTGCCTACCAACTTTCCTACCTGCCGTTATTCCTGCCTAACTGCTTTCCTTCCACCCCGCCTGTCTGCCTACCTCACATCCTACTTACACACACACATATGTTCGTATTTATATATGTATGTGCTAGTGTGCTCTAGGACTATGTATTTTTACATTTTTGTTGTTAGGTAGAACTATTCAGTATAAAGGAGTTTCCTTTTTTTGACGTTGCCGCTAAAATATTCTTTTTTGTGTGGGTGCATATAATAGTGTAGGTTTATTAATAAAAGTACATTTTATTATGTATTTAAGTGTATATAATCATTTTCGTCAAGCCAATGTGTTCATAATCTTAAATTTATAAAAACCTATGAAACTCGATAGCCAAAGAATTAGGATGAGAAATAATTTAATAATTGCTATTTAACCAGAAACACATGTTTTGTATTGTAATAGTATTTTTTTAAAATAAATATACAAAGAGATAGATTGTTTTCTTATATAATTGATTTTAAAAGTATTATATCAAATTTTTAGTTCTGTATCAACTATTCAGCTATTTCAGGTAACCAGAAGTGGAACTTTTTCTACTTTTGGTGTTTGAAAAGCTTATAACTCGACTACTATTACAGGAAGATGTACGAAATTTGAAAAAAAATAAGACCGGAAGAAGTAATTTACGCTATTTCCGATTTTTCAAAAAACTGGAAGTGGCACTTTTTCTACTTTTAATTTTGCAAAAGCCTATAACTTGAGTACTATTTCAAATAGATAAATGAAATTTCACATGTAAGTAAAAGATTTAATTATCTGCCTTCTTCCAAATTTTGAGTAATTTCCGTTGACCGGAAGTAGTAATTTACGCTATTTCCGATTTCTCAAAAAACGCATGTGAATTTATAAAGTACCAATAATATTCCGCACTATTATACACAGATTATTTGGGGTTCAATTGTTGCCCAATACTGTTTTTCTACAATATTCTATTCTATTTTCAAAAGTTTTAGGAAATAAAAATTGATTAAAAATTGTGTCTATATTCCGAGTTGCCATCCCCCGAAGTGTTATATAATATTATTCGAGAAAGTTTAGCGGTGATCAAACCCAGTTTATGTTCATTGTTTTTGTTTATGTTAATGTTCAACTTTGCATTTGTTTGCTTTTATTGTGTAGAGAGCAATATAGTCATACATGATGCTATTCTGATTTTTAAAAATATTTTAATTTTATATATGGTGTTGTTGCTCATAAGGAGAGGGAAAGTATGAATAAGCGGTTTTCTGTTTAATGGTTTGACTCTGATAGTAGGAGTACTTGTATAACAAGAGGTGACATCGAGGAATAGAAGGTGATGAGAATATGAAAATATGAAATTTTAGAATCGTGTGTTTTTGCTGTTTTGAGCATAATATTATGTAATTTACTTGTATTGTCCTTAAAACATTTTGTAAATTAACAAATGTATGTGAATTAACGTTAACATTTGAGCATGGCATTATAAAATGGCTGGAGCAACGCCTAGTTGATAACGGCTATTATTTATGTATTTTATTTTAATTTTTTTCCTTTTTGACTTTTAATCATCATTTTTCTTTCAGGTTTCGTTGTGAACTTGAATGGATAATTTGTTGTGCTATGTTTTGTAAGTGTAGTTATCCGTATTACGTTTTCAAATGGTTCGATGATTATTTTTTAAATTTAATAAAATGTATAAGTTGATTATCTTTATTTTATAAGATTGAGGATAGGAGTTGAAAAGCTAGCACTGACGCACGACTCTATAATAGTCCTAAGAGATATTTAATGATTATATACCCCTTCACACCCACCTCCTGTCATATATTAGGGCTTGCATACACAAATAACGATTTGACTTAAAAACTGTGATGTGTTCGAACTCACGTTTCAGTCGGAGTGCCAGTTATTATGATTCTTTTATCCTCAAGTTGATGGTTAAAGCGTACGATCTTTGGCTAAAATCAATATCAAAAGACAATTTAGTATTATGTATGTATACTTCTGATGCACTTAGTGATCGTGTATGTGTTCTAAAATATCTATTCGTATGTCATGTGTGTGGAGATGCATGAGTGTATTAAGTGTAATAAATAAATAAATTGAAAAAATAAAAAAATTAATATATATATATATATATATATATATATATATATATATATATATATATATATATATATATATATATATATAACTAAAACTGTAAAAAAACTAAATGTACAGCAAGTGTTTGTTGCTGCGTAAATTAATTTTTCCTTTATATTATATACTTATTTACTTACTGGTCGCTTGTACTGAAACAGAATTTATATATATATATATATATATATATATATATATATATATATATATATATATATATATATATATATGCATGAATGCATGAATGCATGTATGTATGTATGTATGTATGTATGTATGTATGTATGTATGTATGTATGTATGTATGTATGTATGTATGTATGTATGTATGTATGTATGTATGTATGTATGTATGTATGTATGTATGTATGTATGTATGTATGTATGTATGTATGTATGTATGTATGTATGTATGTATGTACGTACGTACGTACGTACGTACGTACGTACGTACGTACGTACGTACGTACGTATGTATGTATGTATGTATGTATGTATGTATGTATGTATGTATGTATGTATGTATGTATGTATGTATGTATGTATGTATGTATGTATGTATGTATGTATGTATGTATGTATGTATGTATGTATGTATGTATGTATGTATGTATGTATGTATGTATGTATGTATGTATGTATGTATGTATGTATGTATGTATGTATGTGTACGATTGAACAATATTTTTAACTGCATATATTAATGTTTATTGTTATTATGTTTGATTACTTAAATTAACTAAGTTCATCTCTTACTGAATACAAGATCCAATTAATATGAGACGTCCCACGAATCCTCAAATAGTTTACTTTTGTAAATCTAACCACAGTTGTAAATGTATACAATGTGTTGTTGAGATAGAACTAGTAAAATATAAATTAATAAAAATATCAATTATATAGTTCAATCTTAATTGTATGCTTCTAAAAAACTCTAATTGAAATTATGTGTGTAAATCCAAATCACAAAGTGCACACTTTGATATCACCTTGAATTCTTGAGGGCATATTACTATTTGTATTTGCATTGGTCCTTCAGTTTTTAATGGTATTCCCTCTCTAACTGTTGTCGGTCCATATTGTAAATTTCTCTTATAACTCATGGTCAGTGTTTTGGTGTTCAATCGAATATTGGCTTGAAATTCGTAATCTAAGAGACACGGTTGTGCATCACACAGTTCAATAATCAATCTAGGTAGGGATTAATTAATAATTTTTAGACATTTAGGCAATTAAGATGATCATACAAATTTGAAAAGACTACGTTCAATTGTATTTCTAGATACCGAGTAATTAATAGCTTATGACTTAAGGTAATTAATGTAAAAAGTTTAGTAAACTAGCATGACAAAATCATTTAGAATTTAAATTTTATTTTTGCTAATTAATATGTACATTCTTTTTTTAAAAATAGCCGTTATAACCTGATGTCCGTTGAACTAATAGTTCCTTCGATGTGAATTTCTTTACCATCAAATATTGGATGTCTAATTTGATCAGTGTAAGGTAATTGATACTGTGGACATTTATTAGTTATACAAATATTAAAAAAGTGTAACTGAACTTCTCTGACTCTGTCGATGGAATTGTATGGAAAAAGCTAATATATTTGCTATGAATGCTCAGTATTTTGCTTTGTTACAAACAAACATGTATGCAGTTGTGTTGATCTATATACTGGTAACATTTCTAAATGTAAGTTTTACTCTTTAATTAACCACTTGAACCGCTGAGTTGGGAAATATGAGTGATTTTTCGTGAACATATATTAAGTTTACTATTTTTACTTTCTCGTATATACAAAGTATAGAGAAAGTATTGAAATCGTGCAAAAAATAAAAAAAAAAATAAAAAAAAAATATAATCGAGATTTTTTAAAATCTCGAAGTTTTACACCTACCTGAGTCGGAAAAACATATTTTTGCAATCTTGTCCGTATGTCTGTGTGTGTGTACGTATGTATGTATGTGTGTCTGTAAACACGATAACTGGAGTACCGTTTTAGCTAGGTTGATGAAATATCACATATAAGTATTATATCAAAATCGTAGATCCGTATCAACTTTTGAGCGATTTCCGATAACCGGAAATGGAACTTTTTCTACTTTCAATTTTTCAAAAGCCTATAACTTGAGTACTATTTCAGATAGATCAATGAAATTTCACACATAAATCAAAAATATATGTATCTGCTTTCTACAAATTTTGAGTAATTTCCGTTGAACGAAAGTAGTAATTTACGCTATTTCCGATTTCTCAATAAACACATGTGAATTTGTAAAGTACTAATAATAGCCCTCACTATTATGCAAATTTGGTTAGCGTTCACTTGATGTGCAATTCTTTTTTCTACGAGATTATATTCTATTATAAAAAGTTTAAGTAATTAAAAGTGGATTAAAAATATTGTCTATATCCCGAGTTTCCATCCTACGTAGTGTTATATAAGAATATTTGAGAAAGTTTAGGGGAGATAACTCCCGGTTTATTTTTATTATAACTATAAATATTTGTATGCTATAACTGTAACTGCATCTTGTGTCAAACTTCGCCGGGGGCTGACCGCGTTACATTCCTTTACATTGCAGTAAAATTAATTGGGATTTGATTAAAAATAATTTTGAAAAATTGTGTTTTAAAGATATATTTTTATTATAACCAAATACTTAAATTTAAACATGATGGGTTAATTTGTTCATAAGGAATGATTGGTGGTAATTATAGAAAACAATCACCTAAATACGCTTAAAATTTATTCAGATTTCTTCCCCCGGAGTGGGTGGGATGTCTCTCTTCACCACGCATTAATCCGCATATTAGAGGTTGATATAGGGGCGGAGTGGGTGGATTCTAGATAGCATGACATTAACCTAAAAGTCTCGAATTCAGAACCCACCGTCCTTACATATTGAAAAGGCGGCTAGTACTGATTCTGATCTCTAAATGCCTGTTCTTATTCAAACATGTGAAAACTTCATCTTCGGTATAAACCACAATGTACAAAAAAAGCGTAATAAAAACATGTAAGATGATTAAAGAAATCTGTATATGCACATTAAAGTAATGACCTGCGATGAGCTTCGTTTGGTTTGATGTTGAAAAGTGCCGTTGTCCAGGTTCGTCATTCGTAGAGAGTCTCCGCCATGCACCGACAAGAAACTCGCCAGAAGAGAAACAAACGTCAGTACCAGCTTAATCATGGTGCACTGGTCCTATTTTAAAATATTTTATATAAAATAAACAAATAATTTCCAGTGTTTTAATAAGTGTTTAAATAGGAACAGTATATAGTTTTTATCCTACATTACCAGCCATAGGCCTACACGACGCTGCAAATTTTTTCGTCATTGAAGTGATATGAAATATTAAGGTTATTTGAGCAATAATTAATAATGCGATAATAGTTTTTTTTCGCAACCTCAGGACCAATCATGCCTAAGCTTTAAAACCAAATTTAGAAACGTTTTAAATTCTAGCACCCATTGAAACCAACTGATACCTAATCAGTATCTAAATGCTAACCCAAAATTTAAGTTGTGCATACACTAGTCTAATTATTTTTTAATAATTCTCCAGACACATTATAATCCAGCTTTTAAGAATGTTTTTCTAACATAAAAATTAACCTGTTCAATAATCGAACACTAACACGCCGAACTTAATCTAGCAGTAGGCCTACAACATACCGAAATCGCAATTGACTAGACACTAAGGCCGATCCCCATCTTAACATATTTTAAAGTACTAAACCTATTCGAACAAGCTTACAAATAATGGGGTCTGCTTAGCGTTAAATATTATTCATTCTGATATTCAGCAAAACCGGCCTAGTTTTTCTTTAGATTAATGAAACAAGTTCACTTACCTAATAAATTATCTTTTCTCAGATTCTAACGTTCATTTTTTACTGTATACTTCTTAATGCACACACTGGCTGTGGAGAATTCAAAATGGCTTCCCTCACCTATGAGATACGCGCCACGTTGACAAGAAAAGATGGCGGACAGTGAATCATGAACTTGAAGACAATAACGCACGTAGCGTCATCTGCAGATGTTGTTCCCAATTATTCCTGACACCGAAATCCCAGATCACATCAACCTCTTAGCAGTGTTTTAAAATTTGTAAAAGGTCAACACTTTGATAGGTTTCGTAAGCGCGTATTTAAACCAGGCGATTCACAATTGTATATGTCACCATGCAAAACAAACAAGCACAGATGTTGGAGCAGAGGCGTAGCGAGGGGGGGTGACGAGGGTGCGGACCGCACCGGGTGACACCATTTAGGGGGGTGACACCAAGGCAAAAAATTGTAAAAATATATAGAGATAAATTTAAGTGGGGGGGGGGGGGTGTGCAAATCGAAAGTTCGAGGGGGGGGGTGCAAATCGAAAGTTTCAGGTGGGGGGGGGGGGCAAATCGAAAATTGAAATTTTGTCCCCGGGAAGAGTCGCTATACCTCTGGGGGGGGGGGGGGGGTGTGACACCATTAAGTGCCGCACCGGGTTAGGGTTAGAAACTGCGTAAGAAACTTGATTTACGCTAATAGGCCCTAGTAATATTTCAAATTAAATTTTGTCCCAAATTAGCCAATCCCATAGCTAACAAAGAAATATTTAGATTAAATGATGAAGGTCTGAAATAGTTTAGTATAGAAACCCTTTATTGTCATTGATTCTAGATCTAGATAGAATTTTCTAGATCTGGATTCTACGACTAGTTTGGCTTAAGTTTATTCTTTCCGTAGTTCTAGATCTAGATCTAGTACGTAGATAGATAAATCTAATGATAAATCCCCTGTATTCTCAAATTATATAATCCGTGAAGCTAAAACGCAAAGATTTATATGAAATAGTTAAGGACTAAAATACTTTATTAAAGAAACTCAATGATTTATCGTGTGTTATTGTTTTTATTTTAAACTAATTAATTTTGGTATGACCTTAATCTAGATTTTAGATCTGGGATTGACTTTCCATTCCTCCGACAGCTGATATGTTGATCTAGAGAAATTTATTGTATAGTCAAATTAGAGGAGCTGTTGAAAATTGATAATAGTATTGGAACCTAATAAAAATAGCCAACGGACGTATCGTTAAAGCTATAGCCGACATAAAATATTAGCTTTATAATGCGTTAAACGTTTGAATGGGCAACAAAAATCTTCGATGGAGGCCGCCTTTACTCTTGTAAAAAATTATGTGACGACACTATAAGTAAAATCATTGTTCTGAACTTTTGTAATTAAAGTGATATATCTACCATTGACTTTATCAATAAATTAATAAACGTTTTTAAATTAATTTGTGATTAACAAGTTGGTAAAAAATTACATTATTCTCTACCTAAATACGTATTTCAAAGCTCTAAACGTAGTGCAGATTCTCTCATGTAACTAAACAGACAAACAAAAAAAAAATTTGAACTTGTAAACAAACTTGAGTTTTAGTAGTAAATATGCCGTCCCGGCCAGGCCATCCCATGGCCTCTTTGAAAAACCTATCTGTAAAGAATCATGACATGTATGTTTAGTAATCAGCATATACCCGGTATTGCCCACCCTAACCACAACCAGCCAAAACCAAAACATAAAAAAGTAAACATAACACAAACTCAAACGCAAACACAAATACAAACACAAACGCAAACACAAACCCTACAACAAATATAAATATAAACACAAAGAAAACACAAAAAAACGCAAACGCAAACAAAAATGCAAACGAAAACAAACCAAATCCAAACGCAAACACAATCTCAACCACAAACGCATACCCAACCCAAACACAAAGAAAAAAAAACGCAAACATAAAAGCAAAGCTTTCACAGTCTAGCCCTGGACGCCAAATTGCATAATTCTGGGACGCAGGTGGAAATGCCTGTCTCAGCTAAGTAATGGACTATAGTACCGCAACTTAAACGAACGTGTACGGAGAATTGGAAGGCTTTAGGCTTAAGGTCAGCGGTTACTCAGGTAACGCCGGGGATTCACTGATAAACGCACATAAGAACCAGAAATTTAGCACGTTCGACAGAGGGAGCGACACATATACCAACAACTGCGCGGAGCTCTTCCACGGCGCCTGGTGGTATGGAGGATGTCACAGCTCAAATCTGAACAGACTGTGGGGAAACAATGAGTACGGCAAGGGACTGACCTGGTTCACAACAACAAATTACTACGCGACTGCGATATCCGTAGAGATAAAGATTAGACCGATTTGGTTAGGAAAAGTGTTAAGGATCTTTTTAATTATATTTGTTGTTTAACAGAATTTATACAATGCATGTGTAGTTAAATAGGTATCTAGCAAATAAATTACATTTAGAAAACACCTTTCAAAATGTTTTATTATGATACAGTTACAATTTCTTTATATCAAGGTAATAAATGTATTCTTATTACTATTTTATTTTTACCTAAAGAAACGCAATGTGAAATAAATAATTTACTTAAGACATTGCATTTCAAAATAAAACGAAACTATTTTTGTTAATTAAGTAATAGAAAAGCACAAAGAAGAAGATGTTGCCTATCGTTTCTTTTTATAATGTAGGAATTTTTTTTACACAGAAGATAAACAGATATAATCATATACATACAGTTAGCCTCACGTGTACAATTTTTAAATTCTTGTTGCTGTAACCACCAATAGTGATACACAAACCCGAAAACTGAAGCCTAACGTTACAATTGAAATTAAATAAATGTATCCATTACAATGATATATTTTTTGATTAAACATACAGAATATTGACTATTGAATATTTTGTTGTTGTTCTGAATATGTTTCATACGCGTCTGACCAATTACAATTTTGGGGGAGGGGGGGGGAGGACTTTCCGGGTCTTTGGCTCAGCAACAAACACGTAGGCTAAGTTCCAAATGCAATGTCCCTTTTAAGAATACTTAGTCCCTTCTCTAAAGCAATTAATGCCAGGTAATAACAACCGTTAATTGAAAAACATGCTTACAGTTTTGTTTCATTTGCTGCCTAGTCACGTTTTATATAAAAACATCCATGCAGACGATTCCAATGGCATGTATTTCTCGAATGAATAGTATTTTAGAGATATCCTAGTCTGTTTGCTTTAGGATAGATGTTTTAAAAACATATTTGGAATCTATTTCGTAGTGTGCTATGTATTTTTTCCGAGAAATCTTGAAAGATTGTTTTATATACATTCATAATTCATATTATATATATATATATATATATATATATATATATATATATATATATATATATATATATATATAATATGAATTGTGAGTCACTGCCAGATTTTCTTGAACATAGACGTCAACAACCCATCTAGGAGAGAAAACTCCAAAATCAAACAATATTCTGCCTCGTAATTTGTTCTTGGTGGGACAAAATAAGTAAACTAAAAAAAAATTCATTAAAGAATTCATTAAAGAAAAGTGTGTATCTCTTCCTAAATATTAGTAATGGTATCCAATAGATACTAAAGTGACCCACGTTTTTCTTGATAGTTATTTAAATAGTAGTGTATGATTTTATCTCTACTTTTTAGTGGACTACTACATAAAAGCTTGTTATTAAAACTTTTTTATCATTACTTTACATTTTAAAAATTTACAATAGAGTTGCATGACTAATAAATCGAAAGTGATCTCCCCTAAACTTTCTCAAACATTCATAATATGTAACACTACGGTTGATGGCAACTCGGGATATTGAAGGATTTTTTAATTACTTAAACTTTTTAAAATAGAATAAAATCTCGTAGAAAAAAGAATTGCGAAAGCCAAGCAAAATGTGTATAATAGTGCGAAATATTTTAGTATCCTACTTTATAAATTCGCATTAATTTTTTGAGAAATCGGAAATAGCGTAAATTACTACTTCTGGTCAACGAAAATTGCTCAAAATTTGACAGTATTATTATCTATCTGAAAGAGTAATTAAGCTATAGGATTTTGAAAAATTGAAACTAGAAACAAAAATTCCACTCCAAATTGCTAAAAAGTTGATACGGATCTACAATTTGATATAATACTTCTATATGAAATTTCATCAACCTAGCTGTAACGGTACTCAAGTTATCGTGTTTACACACACACACACACACACACACACACACGCACGCGCGCACACACATAACACTGCCAGCTAGTGTGGTCAAAATTTTAATTAATTACAAAAAACGAATTAGACATCCAAGTCATTTTTAATTTCAGATTGTATTGTTTTCATGTCTTGATCCACATACCAACTTTGAACCGTATCTGTCAGTTAAAAGTGCCCTAATTTTCCCTCGGGCGTTTCGATCTAGACATACTGACGACAGAGACAGTGAGTTAACGTAAAGATTGTAAGCATTGTGAGGTCATTAGACAAAGTAAAATCATTAACTTTTTATTTTAAGAATATTTTTAAGAAACACATTTTAATGTGTATTTTTAACTAGTTTTACTCTCCTGTATATGTTTTCAAATAAATGTTCCAACGGTCATACAATTTTTTGTTAGCTGTAGTGTCTACTGTCAATAGGTTTGGAAAGCTATTTCCATATGGCTGTTGCCAGAAAGCACATTTTTCAACCAAAATTAAATATCTTACAACATGTGTGAAATCAGAGGCGTAGCTAGGGGAGGGTGGGGAGGGTGGCCGCCCCGGGCGCCGACCCTAGGGGGCGCCAAAAGGGGTAGAAACTTTTTAACAAAGTTCATTTTAAGCTGCAGTTTTGAATTATAAACAGTTAAAGTAAAGAAATTTAACGGCTGAGAGCCCTTGCATACTGATTTAACTGTTTTCTACCTTGATTGTGTAACTGTAAAACGTATATCCTTAAGAAATAGTGACCGGAAAAACCGCTATCCAGCTTTCCTAGACGGGGGGGGGGGGGGTGCGCTTTTTCGAAGACTAAAATCGGAAAAATTCACACCGGATTAAGGAATAAATAACCGATATCACTCAGAAAAGAAAAACACATTGAACTAAAGCGTATTTTACGATTGTGTAACATAAAAAAAAGAGTTAGTGACGTTTAAAATCCACTCTACAGTTTTTGTGCAAGATGGTGGGGTACTTATCACCAAACAAAATCGCAAGGATTTGTAATGGATCGCTTACTATATAAATATTTTAACACTTAGAAAAGAAATCAATTGTATTAACACTTAATGTACGGTTTCACTACCCAGTTTTGATAAGTAATAACGCGACTAGTTCTTTGTACGATTCTTACGATTCTCTCAACTTCATCGTGAGAGATCAGATACTTTTACTTGATTGCGTTACTTTTACTTTTACTTGATTGCGTTACATCTTGTCTGGATCACTGCATTAAAGAGAAATAAATATCACGGATTCTTGTATCGCTATCCGATCAGTAAAATAGCAGACTGTCGGAGCGAGTGGGTGGGAAGCGACACTCTTTGCCAATATTTTAAGAGAGAAGAAAATTAGTATATTGTACTGATTATTACTTTGTTCAACTGATAATTCAAAATTGTGATATAGGCTTACAATTATCGAAATTATTCTAAAGATACGACCAAAAGTAGAACAAATAAGGCTTGCACCTTCTACACCTTTAGCAATGGTTCTTAACTTTTTGGAATCACCTTCTTAATAGTTGTATCATCCACACAGACCAAATCCGAACGTGAATCATAAAAAGACTGTGCTAAACGAATTAGCACCGCTACAATTTTAATTTTTTTCTGACATTACTTATCATCATTTTTAAAGGATCATAACGGGAATTTAATTGGCGTCCAGTGAAGTTTTAGGGAACGACAATCAGCGTCATTGTTAATTTTTTTCCAGACTGTCGCACACACATACACACACGTATATATATATATATATATATATATATATATATATATATATATATATATATATATATATATATATATATATATATATATATATATATATATATATATGGGGGCGCCAAATTGAAAGTTCGCCCCAGGCGCCGGGAGGGGTCGCTACGCCTCTGTGTGAAATAAGTGCAAAAAGACTTCCGGTTTTATTAAAGCTAGAAATATTCAAACAGATAATTACTAGTTATAAAATAGTAATTTATCTAACACTTTTATTTTCAATGTGGATTCATAGTAGAGTCAGGGTGTTGTGGTGGTTGTAAAACAATTTTTATTTTTTAAACTTATAGTAATAACTAGCCGTCCCGGCCAAGCCCTGCACTGGCATCTCTGAAAAACGTATCTGTAAAGGACCATAACTTGTGTGTTTAGTAATCAGCATTTATCCGGCATTGCCCACCCTAACCACAACCAACCAAAACACACAAAAAACGCAAACATAACACTTACACAAAACAAACACAAACGAAAACACAAAACAACAAACGCAAAGACAAACCCAACCACAAACACAAAGAAAACACAAACACTAACGCAAACAAAAAAGCAAACGAAAACAAATCCAAACGCAAACACAAACCCAACCACAACCAAACAAAACCAAAACACACACAAAACAACGCAAACATAACACAAACGCAAATACAAACACAAACGAAAACACAAAAACAAACACAAACACAATCACAACCACAAAGAAAACACAAACGCAAAGAAAAAAAAGCAAACGGAAACACAAACGCAAAGAAAAAAAGCAAATTAAAACAACCCGAACCCAAATCCAAACGCAAACCCAAACTCAAACACAAAGAAAACACAAACGGAAAGATAAACTCAAATTGTCCACATTCTAGCCCGGGGCGCCAAATCGCACCATGACGACGTGCCTGATTCAACTTAGTAAACGACTAAAGTACCCAACTTATTCATAGTCTTTTGAACTCACTTACGCGAACGTAGGTACCAAAGAATACATGGGAAGGCCCGGGGCGCCAAATAGCACCCTGTCGGGGTGCCGGAGGACACTCGGATTTGATTCACTTAAAGACTATAGTAAACTCTCTTATCCATAGTCTATTGCACTGCTTAAAACAAAATTATGAAGCATAGCGTTCACATGATAGCCCAGGGCGCCAAATCGAACCGTGCAGGGGCGCCGGCGGACGCGCCTGTTTCAATTTAGTGAACGAAAATATAATACTCCAAGGTTATCCGTAAATGGAAAGAAATAAACTTATAGGATATTGATTTTAAAAGATAATTAGTAAACAGTATGTTCAGTGTATAGAATAAATAAAAGGCAGTATTAAAAATACCAACGACATTGCACTTAATCAATCCCCGCTAATTATGTAAAAAACAAAGTAATAAAAAGTAAATTCTTTCTTCCCCCGATTTAATGGGGTTTTTAAAGGGAAGTAACTGTGTTTTCCAAATCAAGGGACGTTATGAGAACTAAAGGACAAAATGCAAATACATTTCAGACACAATTTTAGAAATTTATAAACGTTGATACACTTTTTAAATTTTTTTATGTAATGTTCATAATTGAAAATTATTATTCTAAGTATATAAAATGAAAATTGTTTTAAAAGACTTTCAATAGTAATTTTTTAACTCATAAATTTAGACCATTGGCACTATTACAATCTAACACTTAAATCCATCGAAGTATCCACGACAAACATTTTACAAACAAGCATGCAGAATTGAACTTTATATATTAGATTGTCGGTATGTCCATCAAACAAAATTTCAAAAAAAAATCACCTTTCACAAAATTATTTACATTAAGTCCTTTAGCACTCATTAGTCTCTTGATGAATTAGGAAAAAAAACACAATTACTTCCCTTTATTAAAAAAAAAACATCAATCCTCTACTAATCCATTATTCTTTGACGCGTGGCCTTGATTTCTAAAACTGAGTAATTTAAATGTAAACAATGCCTGCT